CCCCCCCCCCCCCTCGCTGTTTTTGGATATCACACACATACACAATCTGAACATTAGTCAGCGGGATCTTTTCTGACACCATTTCTGGGAAGGCGCCATTGTTCCGTGACCTTTCCCTCTTCCTCAGGGAGCGCGGCGCCCATCATTCGTATTCATGGCGGTGGATGGTGTGACAAGACGCTGTCAGCTGACAATGGAGGAGCAGACTGCAGGCAGTGTGGCCCCTGTACAGGACAAGGGGGGGGGGGCTCTGACAGCTCTCTGAATCATTGTCATCAGCTCCTGAGTCACACGGCCCCGGTCCCCTCTGATGAGCAGAGCAGGGGGAATGTGATACATGACACTCAGACGCAGGGGGGCCATTCACTGTACACAGAGCGGGCCACACGCCAACGTGACCGCTGAGCCGGGTCCGAGCGCACGTTATGGGGCCCCATCAGATCTCATTCAAGGGGACCTGTCACTTCGTGAATACATTACTGACAGGTCCCAGTGTACGGCGACACTCAGGAGAACTCCAGAAAGTGACTTTACCTAGGATGAGATGATGTCATCAGTCTGCTGCAGGCAGGAAGAAGCATTTCCTCAGTCTCCCCTCCCCCAGTGATCAGTCTGCTGCAGGCAGGAGGAAGCATTTCCTCAGTCTCCCCTAACCCCCCCTTGGCTCTGGGTGCTTTCATTTTCAAACCTTAACTTGGGATTTGTAGTTCCTCCTCATCTGCTTGTGATGTGTTTAGCACGCTGAGTGTGGCAGATGATGACCCTGGAGCCTTTAAAAATCTGCCAGGTGATGGGTGTTTGGTGTATGCAGAGCCACAGTGTGCATGATGCTGCTGATCTCATGCGGCCTCTTTGCAGCCACTTCCTGTCCACATGCACTCCAGTGATGTCTGAATGACATTTCTCAGGGCGGGATTACTGATGGTGACAACAGTGGGCCGTGTCTGCCTAATGGCCATCAGAAAGGCCACTTGTCTCTATTAAAAGCCCAAGTGGCAGCAGTGGACCACGCCTGGGTAATGTGTGCTTAGAACCCGCCACTTAAAGCTGCCATCAAAAGTCCCGGTGACAACGCAGGGGCACAATTGGGAGACAGCAATTTAACGTTGTTAACCCATAACAGGCAGTGCCTAAACAAGGACGGAGCGTTGTCACCCTATAACAGGAAGTGCTTGAACAAGGACAGAGCATTGTCACCCTATAACAGGAATTGCCTGAACAAGGACAGAGCATTGTCACCCTATAACAGGAAGTGCCTGAACAAGGACAGAGCATTGTCACCCAATAACAGGAAGTGCCTGAACAAGGACAGAGCATTGTCACCCAATAACAGGAAGTGCCTGAACAAGGACAGAGCATTGTCACCCTATAACAGGAAGTGCCTGAACAAGGACAGAGCATTGTCACCCTATAACAGGAAGTGTCTGAACAAGGACAGAGCATTGTCACCCTATAACAGGAAGTGCCTGAACAAGGAAAGATCATTGTCACCCTATAACAGGAAGTGCCTGAACAAGGACAGAGCGTTGTCACCCCAAATATCGATAGGGAACACTCATTTTCTATTAGCAGCAAAGGTGTGAAATGAAATATTTCCATCAAGAAAACCTTCCGACATTCCGGTGTTCTGTGATCTTGTTACACTGTATCATTCCTCCTACAAATAACACAATTGTATCCATAGAGGATAGGGTGAGTGGGATCTGGTTGTAGGCGGATGTTGGTGGTTGTAGTCACCTCAGGCAGTGTTTGCAGGGAAGATTTGGGGGTAAAGTGGCCTTTCATACGGCCGGCCGCCATAAACCCGTCATCAGCTCCTCGTGTCATTGTGTCCAGTCTGTAAATATTTGTGAGGAAACCATAATCTATCTCGCTTTGCATGTAATGAGTCTTTCTCATATATTAGTTTCACCGCATAAGTTGCATTAGTGAAATAAATGAACTTTGCACCATATTCTAATTATTCGAGTTTCACCTGTATGTCAGCGCTATATAAGTGTATAATACTGTGGTGAGGACATTAGAGTGTAAGCTCTTCTGATGCAGAGCCGGACGCGTAAAGCTGAGTTGGCTTCATACAGCGCTACAGACAATGTCAGAGCTATATAGAATAATAATACTAATGAGCATAGTTGCCATGGTAACAGATATTCTCATCTTGTATAAAGTGATCTTGCTACAATGTTCACATTCTAATAAATATAAAATGATATTCCGGCTCTTTATTATAAGTCGGGCCTCTGATGGTGGTC